CGGGGACCTATAATCCATAATCCATCACGTAATCAATGAGCGTTAGATCGAAGGTAATCGTTATCCTTATTGATAATACGGAGTCAAATAACAATAACGAGTTGACTCTCTCCTATTCACGCTCACAGCGCCTGCACAACTGCATGCGATTAATTGCGTTGTTCCAATTAATAACCAACCTTCGTCACCGAGGCTGGACCTAATTATCATAATGACCTGCATTATCATAAACACCCCCACTCACATAAAGCATAACGAGCACCTCTCAAATTAGCATAATTTATGCGCGTAATTAACATAATTTCTGATAAATTATGCACATTTTAATTTTCCTTTAATTTTCATTATTGTCATCAAATTTTCAAAAGCAACATATACAACAGGTGGGTGATTGCGTGAGTGGGTGGGTGGGTGAGTGGGTGGGTGATTGGGTGGGTGGTGAGTGGGTTGGTGAGTGTGTGGTGAGTGTGTGGTGAGTGAGTGGTGAGTGAGTGAGTGGTGAGTGAGTGGTGAGTGAGTGGTGAGTGTGGGAGAGTGGTGAGTGAGTGGTGAGTGAGTGGTGAGTAAGTGAGTGAGTGTGAGAGAATGAGTGGTGAGTGAGTGGTGAGTGAGTGAGTGGTGAGTGAGTGGTGAATGGTGAGTGAGTGGTGAGTGAGTGGTGAGTGGTGAGTGAGTGGGTGAGTGAGTGAGTGAGTGTGTGGTGAGTGGTGAGTGAGTGGTGAGTGAGTGAGTGGTGAGTGAGTGGTGAGTGAGTGAGTGAGTGGTGAGTGAGTGGTGAGTGTGAGAGAGTGAGTGGTGAGTGAGTGGTGAGTGTGTGGTGAGTGAGTGAGTGGTGAGTGAGTGGTGAGTGAGGGGTGAGTGGTGAGTGTGAGAGAGTGAGTGGTGAGTGTGTGGTGAGTGTGAGAGAGTGAGTGGTGAGTGAGTGAGTGGTGAGTGATTGGTGAGTGAGTGAGTGAGTGGTGAGTGTGTGGTGAGTGGTGAGTGGTGAGTGTGAGAGGGTGAGTGGTGAGTGGTGAGTGTGTGGTGAGTGAGTGAGTGTGTGTGTGAGTGAGTGGTGAGTGTGTGGTGAGTGAGTGGTGAGTGGTGAGTGTGTGGTGAGTGAGTGGTGAGTGAGTGAGTGGTGAGTGAGTGGTGAGTGATGAGTGAGTGGTGAATGGTGAGTGAGTGGTGAGTGGTGAGGGGTGAGTGAGTGAGTGAGTGGTGAGTGAGTGAGTGGTGAGTGAGTGGTGAGTGAGTGTGTGGTGAGTGAGTGAGTGTGTGAGTGAGTGGTGAGTGTGTGGTGAGTGTGTGGTGAGTGAGTGAGTGGTGAATGAGTGAGTGAGTGGTGAGTGAGTGGTGAGTGTGAGAGAGTGAGTGGTGAGTGGTGAGTGTTGAGTGAGTGGTGAGTGAGTGAGTGGTGAGTGTGAGAGAGTGAGTGGTGAGTGAGTGGTGAGTGAGTGGTGAGTGAGTGAGTGGTGAGTGAGTGGTGAGTGGTGTGTGAGTGAGTGAGTAGTGAGTGAGTGAGTGGTGAGTGGTGAGTGAGTGGTGAGTGAGTGAGTGGTGAGTGAGTGGTGAGTGAGTGGGTGAGTGAGTGAGTGGTGAGTGGTGAGTGTGTGGTGAGTGAGTGGTGAGTGAGTGGCGAGTGTGTGGTGAGTGAGTGGTGAGTGTGTGGTGAGTGAGTGGTGAGTGAGTGGTGAGTGAGTGGTGAGTGAGTGAGTGGTGAGTGGTGAGTGAGTGTGTGGTGAGTGAGTGGTGAGTGAGTGGTGAGTGAGTGGTGAGTGTGAGAGAGTGAGTGGTGAGTGAGTGAGTGGTGAGTGATTGGTGAGTGAGTGAGTGAGTGGTGAGTGTGTGGTGAGTGGTGAGTGGTGAGTGTGAGAGAGTGAGTGGTGAGTGGTGAGTGAGTGGTGAGTGTGTGGTGAGTGAGTGAGTGTGTGTGTGAGTGAGTGGTGAGTGTGTGGTGAGTGTGTGGTGAGTGAGTGAGTGGTGAGTGGTGAGTGAGTGGTGAATGGTGAGTGAGTGGTGAGGGGTGAGTGAGTGAGTGGTGAGTGAGTGAGTGAGTGGTGAGTGAGTGGTGAGTGAGTGTGTGGTGAGTGAGTGAGTGTGTGAGTGAGTGGTGAGTGTGTGGTGAGTGTGTGGTGAGTGAGTGAGTGAGTGGTGAATGAGTGAGTGAGTGGTGAGTGAGTGGTGAGTGAGTGGTGAGTGAGTGAGTGGTGAGTGTGAGAGAGTGAGTGGTGAGTGAGTGGTGAGTGTTGAGTGAGTGGTGAGTGAGTGAGTGGTGAGTGTGAGAGAGTGAGTGGTGAGTGGTGAGTGAGTGAGTGGTGAGTGGTGTGTGAGTGAGTGAGTAGTGAGTGAGTGGTGAGTGAGTGGTGAGTGGTGAGTGAGTGGTGAGTGAATGAGTGGTGAGTGAGTGGTGAGTGAGTGGGTGAGTGAGTGAGTGGTGAGTGAGTGGTGAGTGTGTGGTGAGTGAGTGGTGAGTGAGTGGCGAGTGAGTGGTGAGTGTGTGGTGAGTGAGTGGTGAGTGAGTGGTGAGTGTGTGGTGAGTGAGTGAGTGGTGAGTGAGTGGTGAGTGAGTGGTGAGTGAGTGAGTGGTGAGTGAGTGGTGAGTGAGTGAGTGGTGAGTGGTGAGTGTGAGTGAGTGTGTGGTGAGTGAGTGGTGAGTGAGTGGTGAGTGAGTGAGTGGTGAGTGTGAGAGAGTGAGTGGTGAGTGAGTGGTGAGTGAGTGAGTGGTGAGTGAGTGAGTGGTGAGTGGATGAGTGAGTGGATGAGTGAGTGGTGAGTGAGTGGTGAGTGAGTGGTGAGTGGTGAGTGAGTGGTGAGTGGTGAGTGAGTGGTGAGTGAGTGGTGAGTGAGTGGTGAGTGAGTGAGTGGTGAGTGCTGAGTGAGTGGTGAGTGAGTGAGTGGTGAGTGAGTGAGTAGTGAGTGAGTGGTGAGTGAGTGGTGAGTGGTGAGTGAGTGGTGAGTGAGTGAGTGAGTGGTGAGTGGTGAGTGAGTGGTGAGTGAGTGGTGAGTGTGAGTGAGTGAGTGGTGAGTGAGTGGTGAGTGAGTGGTGAGTGGTGAGTGAGTGGTGAGTGAGTGAGTGAGTGGTGAGTGAGTGGTGAGTGAGTGGTGAGTGTGAGTGAGTGAGTGGTGAGTGAGTGGTGAGTGAGTGGTGAGTGGTGAGTGGGTGGTGAGTGGTGAGTGAGTGGTGAGTGAGTGAGTGAGTGGTGAGTGGTGAGTGAGTGGTGAGTGGTGAGTGAGTGGTGAGTGAGTGAGTGGTGAGTGAGTGAGTGGTGAGTGAGTGGTGAGTGAGTGGTGAGTGGTGAGTGAGCGGTGAGTGGTGAGTGAGTGAGTGGTGAGTGAGTGAGTGGTGAGTGAGTGGTGAGTGAGTGAGTGAGTGGTGAGTGAGTGGTGAGTGGTGAGTGAGTGGTGAGTGAGTGAGTGGTGAGTGGTGAGTGAGTGGTGAGTGTGTGGTGAGTGAATGGTGAGTGAGTGGTGAGTGAGTGGTGAGTGAGTGAGTGAGAGGGTGAGTGGTGTAGTGAGTGGTGAGTGAGTGAGTGGTGAGTGAGTGAGTGGTGAGTGAGTGGTGAGTGAGTGGTGAGTGAGTGAGTGAGTGGTGAGTGAGTGGTGAGTGAGTGAGTGGTGAGTGAGTGGTGAGTGAGTGAGTGGTGAGTGAGTGAGTGGTGAGTGAGTGGTGAGTGAGTGAGTGGTGAATGAGTGAGTGGTGAGTGAGTGGTGAGTGAGTGAGTGAGAGGGTGAGTGGTGTAGTGAGTGAGTGGTGAGTGAGTGAGTGGTGAGTGAGTGGTGAGTGAGTGAGTGAGTGGTGAGTGAGTGGTGAGTGGTGAGTGAGTGGTGAGTGAGTGAGTGAGTGGTGAGTGAGTGGTGAGTGAGTGGTGAGTGAGTGAGTGGTGAGTGAGTGAGTGGTGAGTGAGTGGTGAGTGAGTGAGTGGTGAGTGAGTGAGTGAGTGGTGAGTGAGTGGTGAGTGAGTGGTGTAGTGAGTGAGTGAGTGGTGAGTGAGTGGTGAGTGAGTGGTGAGTGAGTGAGTGGTGAGTGAGTGAGTGGTGAGTGAGTGGTGAGTGAGTGAGAGGGTGAGTGGTGTAGTGAGTGAGTGGTGAGTGAGTGAGTGGTGAGTGAGTGAGTGAGTGGTGAGTGAGTGGTGAGTGAGTGAGTGGTGAGTGAGTGGTGAGTGAGTGGTCAGTGAGTGAGTGGTGAGTGAGTGAGAGAGTGAGTGGTGTAGTGAGTGAGTGGTGAGTGAGTGAGTGAGTGGTGAGTGAGTGGTGAGTGAGTGAGTGAGTGGTGAGTGAGTGGTGAGTGAGTGGTGAGTGGTGAGTGAGTGGTGAGTGGCTGTACACCAGGAGAGATAGTTAACATCTCGCTCCGAGCGCGTGCTGCACCGACTGAGCGTGATGACGTCATTACGTACGCAACTTCCCCAGGGCACGGTTCGAACGCGATGACGTCACGGTCTGACGTCACCACGCACCCCTCCCCCCATGCTCGTAACGCAACGGATTGAACGCGATGACGTCACCTCGCACCCACCCCGCCCACCGCGTGCTGCAACGGAACGTGATGACGTTCCCACGTCGATGACGTCATCACGCACCCCACTCAGTCCCTCCCCCACCGCGCAATGCAACGCTTCGTACGTGTAAGACGTTCACCGCGTTAGGCGAGGCCCCTGCAACGCGCTGACGTCACCGCGCACAGGACGTCATCACGCAACCTCGAACAACCCGCACCGTCGCGAGCCACCCGAACCGTTCTTCCGAAACGCGATGACGTCGCCGCGCACCACGACGTCATCACGCACACCCCTCTCCGCCCGCTCACTGCGACTGACCCCACCGTCCTGAAAACGTGCTGACGTCACCGCGCACATGACGTCATCACGCAACCCCCGAACAACCCGCACCGTAGCGCGCCACCCGAACCGTTCCTCCGAAACGCGATGACGTCGCCGCGCACCTTAACGTCATCACGCACACCCCTCCCCACCCGCCCGCGCACTGCGCGTGACCCCAACGTCCTGAAAACGTGCTGACGTCACTGCGCTGTCGACGTCATCACGTAACTCCTCCCCCACCCCTCCCCGCCACACTGACAGCGATTTGGGTCCCAGCGGCGTGCGAGGTGAACGTGCAGTCGACTCAAATAGTTACGGTAATTTAATATTTATATTATACACGCACAGTTATACTCCTATTATGTACACACAGGGAGCTGTATATGTATATATATGCGCTACACATATATACAGGGGCCTGGCAGTGCGGTCTAATTATAATATTTAACGCGATATAAATATCACGCACTGTACACACACACACCGTTACCGTAAAGTGCACTGATAGACGCCTCAACTTAACAATTACCGTAATTACACCACACACGCGCGTGTGTGGTGTGTGTCTATTATAACGTGCGTGTATTATTATTATTTTATATATATATACATTAGAATAATATTTACGGAAGGTAAAGTTGTGATTATTGTGTTTAGCGTATTTTTCCCGGCATGCAACAAACTTTTTACATTTGCCACGTGGGTACTTTACACGGACTGTACACCGTGCAAACAATTATTAAAATTTACTTTTGTATTTTATTTTGAGGGTGGTGGTGGGGGTGAGAGACGCAATAATGCGTAAAAATTTTAGCACGGCACGTGAGCTGTGACGTCACGCCTCTGTCACGTGACCCGCGCGCGTGACGCAGTGCGCCCGCTGACGTCACGCAGTGCGCCCGCTGACGTCATCCCCCTCCCCTCCCCCCGCCGCGGGTAAAGTTAAACACAAAATGTGTTGCAGGTCTGGGAGGCGTTCCACGGGCAGCGTCTGCTTCTTCTTACCGGTAGGAACCTCCTTGGTGCTGTACCACCAGCACCAGTACCACCACCACCAGCAGTAGCACCAGTAGCACCAGCAGTAGCACCAGCAGTAGCACCACCACCACCAGCACCAGTAGCACCAGTAGCACCAGCAGTAGCACCACCAGCACCAGCACCAGTAGCACCACCAGTAGCACCACCAGTAGCACCACCACCACCACCACCAGCACCACCAGCAGTAGCACCACCAGCAGTAGCAGCAGTAGCACCACCAGTAGCACCACCACCACCACCAGTAGCACCACCACCAGTAGCACCACCAGCAGTAGCAGCAGTAGCACCACCAGTAGCACCACCAGTAGCACCACCACCACCACCAGTAGCACCACCACCAGTAGCAACAACAACAACAACAACCGCCATTCGCCACTAAGTGGCGGTGACGTCACCACGACGCTTGTGCCAGGCCATGTGCACCCTGAGGCCACGTGAAGTGTCGAACGCCCGCTGGCAGGAGGTCACTGGGCAGACCCAGGTGCCACGGGTCGACTGACTGAGATGACTGGCTGATGCACCACCTGTGCCCCCTACTGTGCCAACCTGCTGTGCTTTAGCCACCCGGCGCTCCGCTCGCTGTTGTGAGCGTCGCTCCTCCGCCCTCCGTTGTTGTTGGAGGGCGACTGCCTCCAACTGCCCAGTAGCATCCTTCACGAGCCTCCTCCACAGAGGCCGATCTTGACACCGCTGGTACCAGTCATCGGCAAGTCCACTCAGCTCCACATCCTCCTGTACCACATCACTCCATCTCTTCTCTAGCCCGTGCCGCGCCCGCTTAGCCCCCTCAATCCGGCCGAACAAAAGCTGTTTCGGCATGCGGTGGCTGGGCATGCGGGCTACATGACCCAGCCATCGCAGCCTTGCCTGCCGGAGGAGCTCACCGATGGGACCCTGCCCAGATCTTTCAAGGATTTGTGAGCTCCTCACACAATCCAGTCTGGTTAAACCCAGGATGGATCGTAGGCAGGCCAGCCTAAATGTTTCTAACCGGCGAAGATGTTCCATTAGGGGGGTCCACGTTTCGCAAGCGTAGAGAAGGGAGGGAATGACCGTGGCCGAGAAGACCTGAAGCTTAGTGCGGAGCGACAGACCAGGTAGCTTCCACACAGCGTTACGCAACCGATGAAAAGATATTGCCGCTCGACTGATTCGGAGTGAGACCTCTGCTGTTAAACTGGAGCCAGTCATAAGCACACTGCCCAGGTATGGGAAACTCTCCACTCTCTCCACAACTGCCCCATCACCGATTGGGAGTTGTGGGGGTGGAGTGTCCGATGGTACAAAACACCCAGGCAGGTGCTTAGTTTTGGTGGGGCTGATGGTAAGGCCCACCTCTTAGTGGCACGCTCCAGTCTCAGCAGCAGCGTCTCCAACTCCTCCTCTGACTGAGCAGCTATTACCAAGTCATCAGCATACATAACGTGGTTGAGCAATAGGGAGCCATCCCTTGACCGCACCCGGGCATCGATTAGCCTCCCATTATATCTGTACCATATGGAGATTCCCCCGGTACAGCTATTGAAGGCTTCACGAACTACGTGGTCAAAATAGATGTTAAATAATGTGGGAGCCAGAGGACATCCCTGTCGCACCCCAAGGTGTACAGGGAATGGCTCTGACTCCCGGCCACGTAGTTTTACCCGGGCCCGCTCACCATCATGAAGGTCCTTAATGATCGTGAGCAGAGGGTCAGGTACTCCAAAAGCACGAAGAACGACCCAGAGCCCAGGCCTACTGATGGTATCATAGGCCTTGACCAGGTCAATAAAGCAGAGATGTAGGTCTTGTTGGAATTCCCTACACCTCTGCTGTAGCAGACGGACAGAAAATATGGCATCTGTGCAGGACCGCCCTTTCCTGAAACCGCATTGGGGCTCCGCAAGCCTCTCCTCAGCGTGCCTGGCAAGGCGATGCTGAATAATCCTTGCCAGGACCTTTCCCGGCACACTGATGAGTGAGATGCCCCTGTAGTTGTTACAGTCTGTGCGGTCCCCCTTCTTAAAAAGGGGGACCACCAGGGCATCCTTCCAATCCTGCGGAACCCGTCCAGTGGTCCAGACTGTTGTTATGATGTCATATAGGGCAGTCTGTGCACAAACGCCACCCTCCCTCAGCATTTCGCTTGGGAGATCATCTCTGCCCGCTGCCTTTCCTGGTCTCAGACTCCGGATCGCCTTCAATACTTCCTCAGCAGATGGCACCTCAGCCAGCCACTCACAGGGGGTGACTTCATCCAATATTTGAGGCACCGCAGCCTCAGCAGGGTCATCCTCACTTTGTGCCACGATGTTTTCCTGGCTGAGGGATTTTCCCTCCCCCAGGACCTCACAGAAATGCTCAGCAAATCTGCGAACCTGTTCCTGGGGGTCGGAAATTGGATCACCGTTTTTTCCCCTAATGATGGTAATAGGTGTGGTGCTGCAGGTTACTTTTTTGATGGAGTTAAATAGAGATTTGTGATCACGGGCCACTGAGGCAGACTCCAACTCCTCAGCAACCCGCGACCACCACCCATCCTTGCAGCGCCTCACGGCTCTCCGAACCTCCGAGCGAAGGCTGCGGTAAGCCTCCTCATTCTCTGACGTGGGATTCTGTAGCCGATGACAGTGGGCCTGTCGCTTTTTCTCAACCATCCTGAACAACTCCTCTGTCATCCAGGGTGTCTGGGGAGGTCTGGACCGCGTACCCAAAGCAGCCATTGCAGCTGCATGAGTCACAGTCCTAAACCTCGCCCATTTACCCTCGACATCAGGAGGAGTCGGGGACGATGCCAATCCCAGCCGCAAGCGATGATGAAATTCTCGCTTGCAACTTTCATCAGATAACTGAGACCAGGCCACTTTAGGTTGGAATGGGGTCCTGGGTGTACACCCACCACCGGAGTGGAAGAATGGCAGGCGCATCTTACAGATGACTAGTCGATGGTCAGAGGGCAGATCAGCTCCACGGTAGGTCCTGGTGTCAAGGACATGGGCTCGCATTCGCTGGTCCGTCACTATGTAGTCCAGCAGATGTTCTTGCTTGGACCCGGCAGGCATCCATGATGTTGTGTGGATGCGCCGATGCCGGAACAGCGTGTTGGTAATTACAAGCCCATGGGCTGCACAAAAATCTAGCAGCCTCCTACCGTTGTTATTGAGCTGATCTGGCCCATGCCCTCCAATCACTCCAGACCAGTAGCACCACCAGCAGCAGCAGCAGCAGCACCAGCACCACCAGCACCACCACCACCATCACCACCACCATCACCACCACCAGCACCACCACCACCACCATCACCACCACCACCATCACCACCACCATCACCACCACCACCATCACCACCACCACCATCACCACCACCATCACCACCACCATCACCACCACCAGCACCACCACCACCACCATCACCACCATCACCATCACCACCACCACCACCACCACGTGGTGCAGCCGCCACCACCCCCATTATCCCCGACCCGACCTTCCTACCAGCTGCTCACTCGGCAGGAGAACCTGTCTACATCCGAGTCGTTGACTGCCGTGCACACCCTCAAAGTTGCCTGTGTGTGTCTGCAGCAATGATTCAAGGGCAGTATGCAGGTCCTCCGCCTGCATACAGCCAACAGGGGTACCCGCAGGGACCCCAGCCAGGGTACCCGCAGGGACCCCAGCCAGGGTACCCGCAGGGACCCCAGCCAGGGTACCCGCAGGGACCTCAGCCGGGGTACCCACAGGGACCTCAACCGGGGTACCCACAGGACCCTGGCTATGCTGGGCAAGGCTACGGATACCCTCCACAGACGGGTGAGTGAGTGGGTGGGTGGGTGGGTGAGTGAGTGAGAGGGTGAGTGAGAGGGTGAGTGAGTGAGTGGGTGAGTGGGAGGGTGAGAGGGTGAGTGAGTGAGTGAGAGACTGAGTGAGTGAGAGGGTGAGTGAGTGAGTGAGTGGGTGAGTGAGTGAGTGAGTGTGTGAGTGAGTGAGTGAGAGGGTGAGTGAATGAGTGAGAGGGTGAGTGAGTGAGTGGGTGAGTGAGTGAGTGAGAGGGTGAGTGAGTGGGTGAGTGAGTGAGTGAGTGGGTGAGTGAGTGAGTGGGTGAGTGAGTGAGTGAGAGGGTGAGTGAATAAGTGAGTGAGAGGGTGAGTGAGTGAGAGGGTGAGTGGGTGAGTGAGTGAGTGGGTGAGTGAGTGAGTGAGAGGGTGAGAGGGTGAGGGGGTGAGTGAGTGAGTGAGAGGGTGAGTGAGTGAGAGGGTGAATGAGTGAGTGAGTGGGTGAGTGAGTGAGTGGGTGAGTGAGTGAGTGAGTGGGTGAGTGAGTGAGAGGGTGAATGAGTGAGTGAGAGGGTGAGTGAGTGGGTGAGTGTGTCTGTGTGTCTGTCACTGTCTGTGTGTGTGCCACTGTGTATCACTGTGGTCCGGTAAAAACAACCACCTACCTCCTCGCGGTGCCGGACGGCAACGCTGTGGTGGGCAATGCCGTAGGGGGAGGGCCAACTCAGATTGGCCTTTGCCTTCATGGCGTTTGTAACCACCACAACGGCCATATGGGGGCTCTGGACGGGTATGAAGGGCTGGTAACCCCTCCACCTTCAATTAACCACCACCAAGCTATGGGGAAAAACATTTAGTAAGCTTGTGCTGGAGGCCCCGGGGGGACAGGCGTCAATGACGTCTCCTGGCCAAACCGCCTTTGGCGGAGCCAGGAGATTGAATACCTACCCTCGGGGCTCCTCCAGAAACAACGAAAAGCCACTACGGATGGCCACGTGGAATGTTCGAATGCTCACTGCGGTAGGAGAGGCTGCCACTCCTCCGTCGGGAGCTGGACCGGTTCTGGCTCCTGCCACCATGAGGGGTGGACAGTCCTCTACTCGGGGCAGCAGACTGCCAAACAACAGGGTGTGGCTCTTCTTTTGAACAAAAGAATGAAGGGGGCGTGGGAGCGTGGCGGTGAGGTGTGGGAAGTTGTAAGCCCCAGGCTACTTTGGGCTCGCCTTCCCATCAACCGGAGGCAAGGAGTGGCGGTCGTGGTTACTTATGCCCCCACCGAAGACGAACATCCGTGGAGGGATGCAGGCAAAGCCGATGAGTCAGATGCCTTCTATGACCTCCTGTCACAGGTGCTGGCTAAAGTGGCCCCTCAGGATAGAGTAATCTTGTTGGGTGACTTCAATGCCCGAGTTGGTCAGGATGCTGGCACCTGGTCTGGAGTGATTGGAAGACATGGTCCAGATCAGCTCAACAACAATCGTGGTAGGCTGCTAGAAATTTGGTGCAGCCCATGGGCTTGAAATTACCAACACGCTGTTCTGGCATCGGCGCATCCACACAACATCATGGATGCATGCCGGGTCCAAGCAAGAACATCTGCTGGACTACATAGTGACGGACCAGCGGATGCGAGCCCATGTCCTTGACACCAGGACCTACCGTGGAGCTGATCTGCCCACTGACCATCGACTTGTCATCTGTAAGATGCGCCTGCCATTCTTCCACTCCGGTGGTGGGTGTACACCCAGGATCCTATTCAAACCCTTAGTGCCATGGTCTCAGCTAGCTGATGAAAGTTGCAAGCGAGAATTTCATCATCGCTTGCGGCTGGGGTTGGCATCGTCCCCCACTCCTCCTGATGTCGAGGGTAAATGGGCGAGGTTTAGGACTGTGGCTCATGCAGCTGCAATGGCTGCTTTGGGTACACGGTCCAGACCTCCCCAAAGACCCTGGCTGACAGAGGAGGTGTTCAGGATGGCTGAGAAAAAGCGACAGGCCCACTGTCATCGGCTACAGAATCCGGGAAAGGTCCTGGCAAGGATTATTCAACATCGCCTTGCCATGCATGCTGAGGAGAGGCTTGCGGAGCCCCAATGCGGTTTCAGGAAAGGGCGGTCCTGCACAGATGCCATATTTTCTGTCCGTCTGCTACAGCAAAGGTGTAGGGAATTCCAGCAAGACCTACATCTCTGCTTTATTGACCTGGTCAAGGCCTATGATACCATCAGTAGGCCTGGGCTCTGGGTCGTTCTTCGTGCTTTTGGAGTACCTGACCCTCTGCTCACGATCATTAAGGACCTTCATGATGGTGAGCGGGCTCGGGTAAAACTACGTGGCCGGGAGTCAGAGCCATTCCCTGTACACCTTGGGGTGCGACAGGGATGTCCTCTGGCTCTCACATTATTTAACATCTATTTTGACCACGTAGTTCGTGAAGCCTTCAATAGCAGTACCGGGGGAATCTCCATATGGTACAGATATAATGGGAGGCTGATCGATGCCCGGGTGCGGTCAAGGGATGGCTCCCTATTGCTCAACCACGTTATGTATGCTGATGATTTGGTAATAGCTGCTCATTCAGAGGAGGAGTTGGAGACGCTGCTGCTGAGACTGGAGCGTGCCACTAAGAGGTGGGGCTTTACCATCAGCCCCAACAAAACTAAGCACCTGCCTGGGTATTTTGTACCATCGGACACTCCACCCCCACAACTCCCAATCGGTGATGGGGCAGTTGTGGAGCGAGTGGAGAGTTTCCCATACCTGGGCAGTGTGCTTATGACCGGCTCCAGTTTAACAGCAGAGGTCTCACTCCGAATCAGTCGAGCGGCAATATCTTTTCATCGGTTGCGTAACGCTGTGTGGAAGCTACCTGTTCTGTCGCTCCGCACTAAGCTTCAGGTCTTCTCGGCCACGGTCATTCCCTCCCTTCTCTTCGCTTGCGAAACGTGGACCCCTCTAATGGAACATCTTCGCCGGTTAGAAACATTTAGGCTGGCCTGCCTACGATCCATCCTGGGTTTAACCAGACTGGATTGTGTGAGGAGCTCACAAATCCTTGAAAGATCTGGGCAGGGTCCCATCGGTGAGCTCCGGCGGGCAAGGCTGCGATAGCTGGGTCATGTAGCCCGCATGCCCAAACAGCTTCTGTTTGGCCGGATTGAGGGGGCTAAGCGGGCGCGGCACGGGCTAGAGAAGAGATGGAGTGATGTGGTACAGGAGGACGTGGAGCTGAGTGGACTTGCCGATGACTGGTACCAGCGGTGTCAAGATCGGCCTCTGTGGAGGAGGCTCGTGAAGGACGCTACTGGGCAGTTGGAGGTAGTCGCCCTCCAACAACAACGGAGGGCGGAGGAGCGACGCTCGGAACAACGAGCGGAGCGCCGGGTGGCTAAAGCACAGCAGGTTGGCACAGTAGGGGGCACAGGTGGTGCATCAGTCAGTCATCTCAGTCAGTCGACCCGTGGCACCTGGGTCTGCCCCGTGACCTCCTGCCAGCGGGCGTTCGACACTTCACGTGGCCTCAGGGTGCACATTGCCTGGCACAAGCGTCGTGGTGATGTCACCGCCACTTAGTGGCGAATGGCGGTTGTTGTTGTTGTTGTCACTGTGTGTGTGTCACTGTGTGTGTGTCACTGTGTGTGTCACTGTGTGTGTGTCACTGTGTGTGTGTCACTGTGTGTGTCACTGTGTGTGTGTGTCACTGTGTGTGTCACTGTGTGTGTCACTGTGTGTGTGTCACTGTGTGTGTCACTGTGTGTGTGTGTCACTGTGTGTGTCACTGTGTGTGTCACTGTGTGTGTGTGTCACTGTGTGTGTGTCACTGTGTGTGTCACTGTGTGTGTGTCACTGTGTGTGTGTCACTGTGTGTGTCACTGTGTGTGTGTCACTGTGTGTGTGTCACTGTGTGTGTGTGTCACTGTGTGTGTCACTGTGTGTAGTTGTAGTGATGCAGGAGGCACCTCGAAGTGAAGATTCCTGCCTCACCGGCTGTATGGCTGCGCTGTGTTGCTGCTGCCTGTGGGACATGCTCACCTAGTCACTCACCTAGTCACTCACCTAGTCACTCACCTAGTCACTCACACAGTCACTCACACAGTCACTCACCTAGTCACTCACACAGACACTCACCTAGTCACTCACCTAGTCACTCACCTAGTCACTCACACAGACACTCACCTAGTCACTCACCTAGTCACTCACCTAGTCACTCACCTAGTCACTCACACAGTCACTCACCTAGTCACTCACCTAGTCACTCACACAGACACTCACACAGACACTCACCTAGTCACCTAGTCATTCACCTAGTCACTCACACAGTCACTCACCTAGTCACTCACACAGTCACTCACACAGACACTCACCTAGTCACTCACCTAGTCACTCACACTGTCACTCACCTAGTCACTCACCTAGTCACTCACCTAGTCACTCACCTAGTCACTCACCTAGTCACTCACACAGTCACTCACCTAGTCACTCACCTAGTCACTCACCTAGTCACTCACACAGACACTCACCTAGTCACTCACACAGACACTCACCTAGTCACTCACCTAGTCACTCACCTAGTGACTCACCTAGTCACTCACCTAGTCACTCACACAGTCACTCACCTAGTCACTCACCTAGTCACTCACCTAGTCACTCACACAGACACTCACCTAGTCACTCACACAGACACTCACCTAGTCACTCACCTAGTCACTCACTTAGTGACTCACCTAGTCACTCACCTAGTCACTCACCTAGTCACTCACCTAGTCACTCACCTAGTCACTCACACAGTCACTCACCTAGTCACTCACCTAGTCACTCACACAGACACTCACACAGACACTCACCTAGTCACCTAGTCATTCACCTAGTCACTCACACAGTCACTCACCTAGTCACTCACACAGTCACTCACACAGACACTCACCTAGTCACTCACCTAGTCACTCACCTAGTCACTCACACAGACACTCACCTAGTCACTCACCTAGTCATTCACCTAGTCACTCACACAGTCACTCACCTAGTCACTCACACAGTCACTCACACAGACACTCACCTAGTCACTCACCTAGTCACTCACCTAGTCACTCACCTAGTCACTCACACAGACACTCACCTAGTCACTCACCTAGTCACTCACCTAGTCACTCACCTAGTCACTCACACAGACACTCACACAGACACTCACCTAGTCACTCACCTAGTCACTCACACAGACACTCACCTAGTCACTCACACAGACACTCACACAGTCACTCACCTAGTCACTCACCTAGTCACTCACACAGTCACTCACCTAGTCACTCACCTAGTCACTCACACAGACACTCACACAGACACTCACCTAGTCACTCACCTAGTCACTCACCTAGTCACTCACCTAGTCACTCACCTAGTCACTCACACAGTCACTCACCTAGTCACTCACCTAGTCACTCACCTAGTCACTCACCTAGTCACTCACACAGTCACTCACCTAGTCACTCACCTAGTCACTCACACAGACACTCACACAGTCACTCACCTAGTCACTCACACAGACACTCACCTAGTCACTCACACAGACACTCACCTAGTCACTCACCTAGTCACTCACCTAGTCACTCACACAGTCACTCACACAGACACTCACCTAGTCACTCACCTAGTCACTCACCTAGTCACTCACCTAGTCACTCACACAGTCACTCACCTAGTCACTCACACAGTCACTCACCTAGTCACTCACACAGTCACTCACACAGTCACTCACCTAGTCACTCACCTAGTCACTCACCTAGTCACTCACCTAGTCACTCACACAGTCACTCACCTAGTCACTCACCTAGTCACTCACACAGACACTCACCTAGTCACCTAGTCATTCACCTAGTCACTCACACAGTCACTCACCTAGTCACTCACACAGTCACTCACACAGACACTCACCTAGTCACTCACCTAGTCACTCACCTAATCACTCACACAGACACTCACCTAGTCACTCACCTAGTCACTCACCTAGTCACTCACCTAGTCACTCACACAGACACTCACACAGACACTCACCTAGTCACTCACCTAGTCACTCACCTAGTCACTCACCTAGTCACTCACACAGACACTCACACAGTCACTCACCTAGTCACTTACCTAGTCACTCACCTAGTCACTCACACAGACACTCACACAGTCACTCACCTAGTCACTCACACAGACACTCACCTAGTCACTCACCTAGTCACTCACACAGACACTCACACAGTCACTCACACAGACACTCACCTAGTCACTCACACACTCACTCACACAGACACTCACCTAGTCACTCACACACTCACTCACACAGACACTCACCTAGTCACTCACACGGTCACTCACACAGTCACTCACACAGTCACTCACACAATCACTCACACAGTCACTCACCTAGTCACTCACCTAGTCACTCACAGTCACTCACCTAGTCACTCACCTAGTCACTCACACAGTCACTCACACACTCACCTAGTCACTCACACAGTCACTCACCTAGTCACTCACCTAGTCACTCACCTAGTCACTCACACAGACATTCACACAGTCATTCACCTAGTCACTCACCTAGTCACTCACCTAGTCACTCACCTACTCACTCACCTAGTCACTCACCTAGTCACTCACCTAGTCACTCACACAGTCACTCACACAGACACTCACCTAGTCACTCACCTAGTCACTCACCTAGTCACTCACCTAGTCACTCACACAGTCACTCACCTAGTCACTCACACAGTCACTCACCTAGTCACTCACACAGTCACTCACACAGTCACTCACCTAGTCACTCACCTAGTCACTCACCTAGTCACTCACCTAGTCACTCACACAGTCACTCACCTAGTCACTCACCTAGTCACTCACACAGACACTCACCTAGTCACCTAGTCATTCACCTAGTCACTCACACAGTCACTCACCTAGTCACTCACACAGTCACTCACACAGACACTCACCTAGTCACTCACCTAGTCACTCACCTAGTCACTCACACAGACACTCACCTAGTCACTCACCTAGTCACTCACCTAGTCACTCACCTAGTCACTCACACAGACACTCACACAGACACTCACCTAGTCACTCACCTAGTCACTCACCTAGTCACTCACCTAGTCACTCACACAGACACTCACACAGTCACTCACCTAGTCACTCACACAGACACTCACCTAGTCACTCACCTAGTCACTCACACAGACACTCACACAGTCACTCACACAGACACTCACCTAGTCACTCACACACTCACTCACACAGACACTCACCTAGTCACTCACACACTCACTCACACAGACACTCACCTAGTCACTCACACGGTCACTCACACAGTCACTCACACAGTCACTCACACAATCACTCACACAGTCACTCACCTAGTCACTCACCTAGTCACTCACAGTCACTCACCTAGTCACTCACCTAGTCACTCACACAGTCACTCACACACTCACCTAGTCACTCACACAGTCACTCACCTAGTCACTCACCTAGTCACTCACCTAGTCACTCACACAGACATTCACACAGTCATTCACCTAGTCACTCACCTAGTCACTCACCTAGTCACTCACCTACTCACTCACCTAGTCACTCACCTAGTCACTCACCTAGTCACTCACCTAGTCACTCACACAGACACTCACCTAGTCACTCACCTAGTCACTCACCTAGTCACTCACCTAGTCACTCACCTAGTCACTCACAGAGTCACTCACCTAGTGACTCACCTAGTCACTCACCTAGTCACTCACCTAGTCACTCACACAGTCACTCACCTAGTGACTCACCTAGTCACTCACCTAGTCACTCACCTAGTCACTCACACAGACACTCACACAGACACTCACCTAGTCACTCACCCAGTCACTCACCTAGTCACTCACCTAGTGACTCACCTAGTCACTCACCTAGTCACTCACACAGTCACTCACACAGACACTCACCTAGTCACTCACCTAGTCACTCACCTAGTCACTCACCTAGTGACTCACCTAGTCACTCACCTAGTCACTCACACAGTCACTCACACAGTCACTCACCTAGTCACTCACACAGACACTCACCTAGTCACTCACACAGACACTCACACAGACACTCACCTAGTCACTCACCTAGTCACTCACCTAGTCACTCACACAGACACTCACACAGTCACTCACCTAGTCACTCACCTAGTCACTCACACAGACACTCACCTAGTCACTCACCTAGTCACTCACCTAGTCACTCACACAGTCACTCACCTAGTCACTCACCTAGTCACTCACCTAGTCACTCACACAGACACTCACCTAGTCACTCACCTAGTCACTCACCTAGTCACTCACACAGACACTCACCTAGTCACTCACCTAGTCACTCACCTAGTCACTCACACAGACACTCACCTAGTCACTCACCTAGTCACTCACCTAGTCACTCACCTAGTCACTCACACAGACACTCACACAGTCACTCACCTAGTCACTCACCTAGTCACTCACACAGACACTCACACAGTCACTCACCTAGTCACTCACCTAGTCACTCACCTAGTCACTCACACAGACACTCACCTAGTCACTCACCTAGTCACTCACACAGACACTCACCTAGTCACTCACACAGTCACTCACCTAGTCACTCACACAGTCACTCACACAGTCACTCACCTAGTCACTCACTTAGTCACTCACCTAGTCACTCACACAGTCACTCACCTAGTCACTCACACAGTCACTCACCTAGTCACTCACAGACACTCACCTAGTCACTCACACAGTCACTCACCTAGTCACTCACACAGTCACTCACCTAGTCACTCACCTAGTCACTCACACACTCACTCACCTAGTCACTCACCTAGTCACTCACCTAGTCACTCACACAGCCACTCACACAGTCACTCACCTTGTCACTCACCTAGTCACTCACCTTGTCACTCACCTAGTCACTCATACAGTCACTCACCTAGTCACTCACACAGTCACTCACACAGTCACTCACCTAGTCACTCACCTAGTCACTCACACAGTCACTCACCCAGTCACTCACACAGTCACTCACACAGTCACTCACCTAGTCACTCACACAGTCACTCACCTAGTCACTCGACTAGTCACTCA